CAGTTTCCATTAGTATTTACTTTATTAAAAACATTAAAAAGGGCTCTATCCATATCCAAATTAGATCCCGGTGGTCTATAGCACACCCCAAGCACTATCCCAGGGGAGGCTCTAATAGTTTTCTTCCCCAATTTAATTGTTGCCCAGACAGACTCAGTCATATCCATTTCATCGCTTCTTATTTCTTTACATTCTATCTCATCATTGATATACAGTGCTACTCCACCACCTTTACCTTTATTTCGGTCTTTCCTAAACAGCACATACCCTTCAATACCTGTAGCCCAGTCATGACTACTATTCCACCAGGTCTCTGTTATACCTATAATATCTGGTTTCACTTCCTGCACCAGTAACTCTAGTTCCTCCATTTTATTACCTAGGCTCCTTGCATTAGTGTACAAACATCTTAATTTTTGCTGTTTGGCCTCACTCACATTCTGTACCCTATTAGGCACGGTTATTTTACTACCAGTATAACCTATTAGACTTGTATCTACACTGCCCTTCCTCCTACCTACAGCTGTATCCACTCTTACTTCATTTTCTTTCCACTCTATGCTAAATTCTGGCGTGGAGATTACCTGGACATCTCCCAACCATCTCCCCCAAATTCCTAGTTTAAAGCTCTCTTAATCAGTTGTGCCAGCCTAGAAGTCTATTTCCTTCCCTACTCAGATGAAGTCCATCCCGAGAGAACTGTCCTCTATCCATGAATGCCTCCCAATGACCATACATCCCAAAGCCCTCCTTATAGCACCACTGCCTAAGCCATCTATTGATAGTCATAATCTTGTCACACCTTTGTTGCCCTTCTCTAGGAACAGGCAGAATCCCACTAAAGATCACCTGAGCCTCAATTTCCTTAAGCGTCCTCCCCAGCCTAGCATAGTCTCCCTTAATACTTTCCAGCGAGAATCTAGCCGTATCATTTGTTCCCACATGAGGCTGGGGTCTGCCACAAACTTTTTGTGGTGTCAGAGATGGTTTTTGTAAGAGGCAGGACAATATGTGCAGGTCCGAAGGGGGCAAGGATGTCTACCATTGGATCTGCGACCTCCACTATCTCCTCCACTTGAATGCCCAGGCCCTGAGCAACCCATCACACCAATTGCTGTAGAATCCTACTGTTTTCCAGGGCTGGGGCTGTACTGTGCCCACCAGTGTCTCGTCCAGTGAGTTCAAGGAAGAGACCCCCGTAAGGGATGGCTGCTCCCCTCCTTCCACACCCAAGGGGTCCTGGGGCACCTGGATTTCTTGGGCCGTTGCTGACCTGGATGGTATTGTGCCCCTGGGTGTCGGGACTGCCTATGCTGATGCCAATGCTGAAAGTGTCAGTGGTGCCAAGGCTATCATTGACACCGGAATCGCAGTCAGTGCCGGGGCTATCGTCAGTGTTGGAGACTTCAGAGCCGGAACAAATGGGTCCAGTGCAGGCCACGCCGGAGGTGTTGGGATATTGGTGCTGGGTAGCAACGGGGCTACCCCTGATCCTGCTGATGCCAATGGTGCTGGAGGGGGTACAAACGTGGCCAAGGCCACCTGCGTCGCCCTGGAATTTGACCCTTGGCTCCGACTTTGGCTTTGATGAAAAGCCCAGGAGTCCAAAAAGGGCCATTGCACCAGGGGGTTGCCATTGTGCGGGCCACAGTGCCGGGTAAGGGTGCAGGTCCCGTGTTGACGTGGACCGTCTGCTCCTACTCCTACGGAACCGATAGGAGTCAGACTCCGAGGTGTCTGAAAAACAGGACCACAAAGGAGTGTTATTTCTAGGTGCCGACTGTTTGTGCCAAGGGCTCAGGGACCAGCACAGCTGCTGGGTCTGTTCCGATGCCGGGGAGTGGCGCACCGGGGTTGGAGATCAGCAGGGCATCATGACGGGCTTTCCCCTTGAAGGCTTCTACACCTTTGTACTTCCCAGGCATATTAGATCCATTGTCATAGGCTTGACCAATGCAGACTTGAAAAGCTAACTTAAAACCTTCTAGAATTGCTAGTACTTGAGCAGCAATTTCTTTTCCAGTTTTTCCCACAAAATTTTCAAACAAAATAAACCTTTCTTCAATTGAAAATTTTGAGCTGTCTACAATCTTAACATATCAAATAACCATAATAGTCTGTTCCATGTGAGAACAATCTGGAGTGGCATCAACAATGATTGAAAAATACTTAGCATTTCGAATCTCATCAAGAATTGTTATTTGTACGAATAACCCACGTAGCTCAATAAACTTGTTTTGTATGCTTGTGGAGAGATAATGGACTTGCATGCGCTTTTGACTCTCTTGAGAGTCTCGAACATGTTTAACATGCTCTGATAAAAGTGGGTCATATTTGCTGAGGAGCTCAGCTATGCCTAGAAAGTTTCCATTTGCATGATCACCAATACGTTGACTGGAACAAAAGAAAGCCAATCCCTGCTCAGAAAGAAAAAGGATGACATTCAGGATGTACTCAAGAAGTTTTTTCCAGTTATTAGTTTCTGTAGAGAGTTCAGTCAAGAGTATATTCTCAACTGAACTTTCAGCTGATGCTGCCCTACTGGCTGATTTCCATGCAACATAGTTTTCTTTGTGTGACGTTGAACTCTCTTGTGATGGTATTCGGTCTTTCAACTTCCTCCAACCTCTGTTGATGCTCCATCCTGATTGATCAGAGAGAACTAATACATTTGCAGAACTTTTGTTCAAAATGAAGCAGGGTGCACAGTACAGATTGTTTTTCCATACTCCAGCATAATCAGTCTCTTGTGCAGGTCTCGCCATGTGGAAGAGTTTTTGTCAGCAGATGAGTAGGGAAAGCATGATTATCAGCATCTCGTGGAAGGTTACTTAGAATTTCAAAACAACTAATTTGAAGAAAAGATTGCATTTGGGCAGCATTGCTCTTGTCACTAATTCCAGTGTCAGTTACCGTCAAACCTGTAGTACTCATGAATTGCTCTTACTGTGTAAGATCTACATCTTCCTGTTGCTGTTCAGTTTCTTGATCGTACACAGGATCTTCTGCTGCATCTGTTACTGTTGGCATATCTCCTTCTTGACTACTGTCCTCATGTTCAGGTATTGGCATTGAAATACCACCTGTTGCAGTTGCAGAATTTTCATTATCTATGGCATTGTTCATTGGGTAAGGTGCGTTTTCCAGTGGTTGGAGAAATGAAGTTATTGGCTTTGAGCTCTTAGCTGCTGATTCACTCAGTTGTTTTCGCCTCTCTTGCTTGCACCACTTTCAAATCTCCTCTTCATAGTGATCTGATCTATTTATACCTGAAATGTTCTAAAGTAAATATGTAGCCTATCCACACTTGAAATATTCTGCTGTAAATCAGTAGCTTATTTACACTTGAAATCTTCTACTGTAAACATGTATGCAAATGCTGAATGGTATGCAAATGCTGAAAAGACTTAAAACGAAGGAATACTAATTAAGAACACAAAATGAAATAGTCAGGTTATTATCCTTATCACTGAATCAAAACTCAAGCACGCAAGGTATAATATAATAGGCTGAGCTGAAGACAAAGGGATGACATATATATATATAGTAAACACAGACACGGATACAGACAGAGGGATAATGTCCAAAAATTTCAAATGTGTGTACTCATGAAATTCACTGTATAAGATTGTCCTCAGAAATTTTCACCTTGAATCTGGGCCTATAGACGACGAAAGCCTATGATGATGGCCAAGCTACCAAGCTGGGGCTCAACCAACCAGTCACCTCTTTTAGCTACTATATGAAGATAATAATGAGGAATTCTCACACACAAATAATTCCTTAGTCAACTAAACGTAAAACTATAAAGACACTAAAATGTAACAATTCTCTACCTTTCAACACGAACTTGATCCAGCACCAGCCACTAGTAGTCGTTTGTTTATATAATCAGCAGATCTGAGTGGACACGTTCATCACAGTCTAATCTTGTGCCATCAGAACGGATATTTTTATTAATATTTATGAACATTTTAAACTCTAATATGAAAAAAATAAGTTAACAAAAAAAATCTTTTACCAAATCACATCTTTATTAGCTTAAATTTGCAGCTCTAAGATGCATCCGATGAAGTGAGCTGTAGCTCACGAAAGCTCATGCTCAAATAAATTGGTTAGTCTCTAAGGTGCCACAAGTACTCCTTTTCTTTAAGATGAGTGTGTGTGTCACATTTTGGTCTGATAGGGATGAGCATAAAAACAAGCTGCGAAACTTATCAAATGCCAAAAAATTAACAAGTGTCTACATTTGAGGCCCCCTTTGAGCTTGAAGCCCAGGCCAAATAGCCCTCCTGGCCCTCCCATGATTGGCCCTAAGTGCAGCCCCCATTAACAGGACCTTCAGGCACTGATCTGTGCCCTTTAATGTCCTAGGACGAAAGGTCTTGCAGATGGCACAATGATCCTTCTGATGGCTCTCTCCTAAACACTTCAAACACGAAGTGAGGATCGCTTCTGGGCATACACTTGCCGCAGGCTTCAAAGCCTGGAGATCCCGGCATGGAGAGAGCATAGGAGGGGAAACCCCCGCCCCAAAGGAAACTTAATCTAACACTGAGGGCTATTAACTATTTAATTTACACTACAGAGCTAATGAAAACTATGTAAATAGACTGCTAAATGCGCTTGCCAAGACAAGAGCACAGGGAAGTTCCAGCTAACCGTCACTGGAGGTAATAAGTAACTGAGGAGGTGGCGGGTCAGCAGGGTTCTATATTGAGCACCATAAAGGCACAACTCCAGGGGGTGCCCAGACTGACTCGACGGATGCTGCTGTGGGAAAATTTTGCAGCTACCATGCTTGCACACCCCTGATTGGAATGGACATGAACAAGCACTTAAAGAACCACCTTAATTTCTTGAATCTCAAGAATTGAGTGCTTGATTTTTTTCCCCTTCCCCCACATTTGCATGTGTGTATTTATTTATTTTTACATATACTCACACACACATACACAAATGTGTGTACCAATGTTAAAAACTAATCCTTTCACTACTAGGCAGATGAACCTGAGTTCTCCTGGATTCATCCATATGGAAGAAATGAGAAGGCACGTTGTTCTTCTGACGTCTCCCATTATGAACTCCAGGTGGAAATAGGTAATCTAGTTCTATGCTGAAATGTGCTTAGTCTATCCAAGATTTTTCCTGCAAATGGCCATTCTTTATATATATTTAAAAAAAAAAATCCCATGAGGGGAAAACTAGAAGCTGTGGAAACATGTGTTCTCCTTGTTATAGAGCCACCCAGAACTATTTTAAGATCTCTCTAAATGTTTACACACTTCTTGACCTCTGATCTTAGCTGATTATTGATCTTAACTGAAATTCTAGTGTTGTGAATTTCACTTAATGTTTAAAAACATACAATAGAAATTCATAAAGATACACAAAAACCTGTCTGAATTTGATATCTCTATTCCAATTTGGAGAAGAGATTTTCCGCTCATCTTGCTATTTTTTTTTTTAATAAGTGACCACTCTAAATCTGTTACATTGGTTGTAAATATAGTAGAGAGCAAATCAGCATTGTGGTTCTGGTGGCTGTGGCACTTGACAATTTCCGATCAGTCAGCAGGCGTGGTAAGATGGTCCTAAAGATGGCTGTACTGCATCACTATGTATAGAGTGAGTGCTGGTGGTGGTAGTTCTTTAAGTTGGACATCAGCAAAGAAGTCAGCATTTGTAAGACACTTCATTGGTCCTGAGAAGTGAGACTTGTTTAAACAATTTTTATTAGACTAAACAAAAGCAACAAACATGGCTTGACTAGTTTTCTGGCTGATGTTACATGCAAGCATGCACTGTTAACTGCACCCTTAAAGCCATAGATTCACTGCAGTCAGCAGCAGTGTGTTAGAATTCTAGGACTGTTTGACTACTAAGTGATGAAGCAATTTGTGGGTTTTTTTTAAAACTACCTTTTATAATGTTAACAGAAGGCAGTTGGTTTGCTTCTGCTTACAGGAAGAGGATTCAACAATTTAACTTCGATCTACCTTGCCCGGCATACACCTACAGGAACGCTTGTGGCTGTAAGGATCACAGACTTAGAAAACTGCTCTGAAGAACATTTGAAAGCTTTACAGGTAAAACAGTAGGACTTGTATAGATGTCTGACACAGGAACTATAATGTATGTGGGTATATGCAGTTAATCAGTACCAGAGTTAGCCTTGTTATATGAACTGGTGCACACTAAATTAAGTGGCTCCTTGATAAGGCACTAGAGAATAAACTGAAGTCTTCTGCAATACAACAATTTCTCTAGTCATGCACGTACCCCAGTTTGACACACAAACTCTATACTCTTCACTAGAATAAGGGACTCAGAATTAACAATAAAACAGCAGTTCAGTTAGATATCGAAAGCTTCAACAATTTGTTTGAATTTCTATTGCAGGATGTGCAAAGCATCTGAAACCTACATAGTGGGACTCCAAACTTGTTAGCTAGTAGAACTGCATTTACGAAATTGACTTTCTTAAAGTTACTGAGGACCTGTGTAGTTAAGGTTTTTGTCAAGATAATTATCTTCCAAATAACTTACTCACTTTTGTTTAATTCTTTAGAGTGAGGTGGTGCTATCCCACTTTTTCCAGCACCCCAACATAATGACACTTTGGACAGTATTTACTACTGGCAGCTGGCTTTGGATCATCTCTCCGTTCATGGCCTATAGTAAGAATTGTAACTACAATTTGGGAAAAAAGCTTACTGAATTACTGGATTAGATAGCTCAGTCTCTAACACCAGGCTTGTGGCTATGGAAGAGCATGAGATATTCTATATTCCTTTCAGCATCTCTTCTCTTGTAGACCTTGGATGTATCCTAGTTCCACTGTGCCAGACTTATGAATTTTGCTTCTCCTAGAAGGCAGCGTGGATTGGCTATAGGGGTGAAACAGCCGGTTTCCAGGTCATGGAAACATGACTTAGGATGTGGTAGGCTTCATTGTGATCTTTCACTACTGGAAGAATCACTTTCTTTCAGTAATATACTCTGAGGTGACTTACACAGGGAGGCAACTGCTGAGGAAGAAAGTCATTGTAAAGAGGGAACAATGCTTCTTCTGGGGCAGAGGTGGGCAAACTACAGCCCGTGGGCCACATCCTGCCCACGGGACCCTCCTGCCCGGCCTCTGAGCCCCCAACCCCTCCCCCCTAGCCTCAGCTTACTGCACCACCAGCGCAATGTTCTGGGCGGCGGGGAGGCGAGCTCTTGCCGGGCAGCGCAGCTGGAGAGCTGCGGCCTGACCCGGTGCTTTGTGCTGCGCGGTGGTGTGGCTGGCTCCAGCCGGGCAGCGTGGCTGCCTGTCCTGGTGCTCTGGGCGGCGTGGCTGTAGCACCACCAGCCACCAGTGCTCCAGTCAGCGTGGTAAGGGGGCAGGGAGCAGGGGAGCTTGGATAGAGGGCAGGGGATTTCGGGATGGTGGTCAGGGGGCGGGGGTGTGGATACGGGTCGGGGCGGTCAGAAGGTGGGGAACAGGGGGGTTGAATGGGGGCAGGGGTTCCAGGGGGACAGTTAGGAAGGAGGGAGGGGTTGGATGGGGCAGCAGGGAGCAGTCAGGGGTGGATGGGGCAGGAGTCCTGGGAGAGGGGTCAGGGGGTGAGAAGCAGCGGGGGTGGGATATGGAGCAGGGGTCGGGCCATGCCTGACTGTTTTGGGAGGCACAGAGCCTCCCCTAACTGGCACTCCATACAATTTCGGAAACCCGATGTGGCCCTCAGGCCAAAAAGTTTACCCTCCCCTATTCTAGGGGGTACATGCACAGTGGAGAGAATGCTTTCTTATAGTAGGAATAAAGATTTGTCACTAACAAGACCCGAATGCTTAGCGTGATTTTTTTCTTTTCTTTTCAGATTCAGCTAGTCACCTACTGAGGACCTACTTCCCTGAAGGAATGAGTGAAGCTTTGATAGGAAACATTCTGTTTGGTGCAGTTAGAGGGTTAAATTACATGCACCAAAATGGCTACATTCACAGGTATGAGACAATTAATACCATAGGTAAGAAGTTATAGCAACACACAAGCTTCCAAACTGAAGCTACTCATTAGTCTATTTAGGTTACCAGAAGCCTATGCCTGATGGCTTTAGAGGAAGGGGAGCTCCCTTTCAACACCCATTCTCTTGTTACTCACAGATTGTTGAGTGCTGAGTAGACACAGGCCCTTCTCTGATCATTTTCTTGGTTTGATACCCTCCAGGCTCTCTGGCATAGCTAGTTTAACTGAAGATACTACTTTTGTTCCTATAAAATGTCTAATCACTTTTGAGCCTTCTTGCTACAATGACTTTCTGCAGCAGTACATTGCAGAGGAACTATAATGCTTTGTAAATAACTTCCCTTTATCCATTCTAAATGTGTTGTTATTCAATTTAATTGTTCTTTTACGGGGGCTGGATGAATGGGAGCACTTGCTTGATCATCTTTTACTGTTTATACAGTGCTTTGGAGATGTAAAGCACTCCAAGTTTTCAGTAGTGTTATGGAGTGTGTTGATAAATTCTATAGTCAGTTGCTTGACCACACTTTTGGTTGTTATGCAATATAATCAAGAGACCAAATAACGAGTCAGGTTTATTAATATGGTACAGGAAAATATGTTCTATACAATGCCAGTCTCCAAAGGACAGTCCTGTGCAGCAATATTACATTCACCTTACACAGAAGGTGTGCTCCCCAAAGTTACATCCCTGCAGTCATCTTTTTATAACTTACTTGCTTACCAGAAAAAGGAACTGTATACATCACCTGCAACTGGATTGAATTAATCAGCTTTTTATCTTGTTTGTTTCTGGTATCATGGTGCACCCCATTATCTCTTGTTCTGAACCCATGCATTCCAGGTACTAAAGAGTGTAAAGACACCTCCTAGGCTTGTACCAGGATAAATAGGTTTGTGAGGGTAACTCCCTTTCTGTTGCTATGACAAAACAATTAAATGTCCTGATACTGACAGTTTTTCTAGCTTCGTAAGCCAAAGTTTACTTCGGCTAATGCAAGGTATTATGGAATACTTAGCATAAGTGAACAGATTTATAATAAAAGTGCAGGCCAATTTGGGCTATATAACTGCTATATTAATGCTTAATATTATGTGTACTGAAATGCTTGGAACATATATTATGGGTAGTATTATCAACATAATATATATGTATGCTAGCCAGTGTATATTAGTCAACAAGTTGCAGCATTGACTTCCTAGTTATGGTTATAAATTTTTGTTTTAAGATTAGAAAGCTGACACTTGAAACTTCACTCCACTTTCCTAAAAAGCTTCACTTGTTAAAATTTTTTATATAGCTTCTAATGAGAGGAGGATTCATGGTGAAAGCATTTTTGAGCTATCGAACTCCAAAAAGATTAAGTTTTCCCAAAAACTTCTAAAAAGCCTGAACTTCTCTTAATGTCTTATTTTTAAAAATAAGAACTTTGTCCAGAAGCTCCACATTTGTCTTATACTAGTTCTGACTATTTAATGTCAGACGTCATGGTTTTTAGTGGAAGTCAAGTTTCCTACACAAATTCTTACCTCCAAGAACAGTCTGGTCTTAAGCAAACTTCTTGTTGGTTCTTTAACTTTAATTTACCAGAAATCTGAAGTGGCACAATGATGCTGCTTCAAAACTGGAAATATGTTTACCATAAACTAAAATGAGGGCCTTATTAGGAAGTTACAGATTTTAAAATAAGGCAAGTCTTGAAATGCATAGGAATAATTTGAAAACAAACCTTAATTTGGACTTCATCTCCTTGTTCACCTCAGCATGTAGACCAGAAACTTTATATTTCTGCCCACCCTCTACATATCCAACATCCATTCTTCTGTATCTATTCTCTCATACAGTGTTCACTGTATCTGACGTGCAAATCACCGAACACTAGCTAAAGACCCAACCTTGCTCTAGAGATAACAGCATCTTGTATCTTAACTCCAGAATAGAGTTCAGAGACTGTCTCCTTTCCCATACCCCCAAATGCATTATAAACCAATTATTCCACATTGATCTCCTCTCTATGCAGATGCCCCAATATATGTACTTAATTTTTCTTTGTATAGCTCTGTGAATGCACCTTTACCCCCATTCACTGTACTTGTTGACTGCAGGTGCCAGAGTACCATGTTCACTGACACAGAGAGAGGACCTATATATACTTTACATACATGCTGGCTTGACTATCTCCTCCATTAGGGAGTATCTGACTACAAATAAAACTGACTGTTGGGGAGAGTTTAATTTGTTGTATTATAATACCTGTAAGCCAGTCCATGTGAATGCTAATGGAGACATAGTTATGGTGGCATGCAGAACCTTAGCTTTGATATCTACCTTTTCAAATAGTGTTTCAAAACTCTTTCAGTGAGGCACTGTGGGTGTGTATGTACCCCAAAAAGTTTGTTTGGGGGGGATTTTATATATAGGTAAAACTCCACTTTTTAGAATGAACACCATATAAAGGCTTCAGATTGCAAAGTCAGTGTTTTGTAAACATGCATTCTGGATAAGGGATTCAGTGTTTATACAGTTTCTCTTCACCCGTCTTTAAGATGCCTTTCAGTCTGACCACGTGATCATGCTATAGCTGACTATCTCAGAATATTTTATGACTATATGGCAGACTTTCTACTGTAGTAATAAGTAACATTCGAGTGTTTGGTTTATTTTTTATAACCACATTTTATCACTTTGTTTCAGGAATATGAAAGCTAGCCACATTCTGATTTCAGGGGATGGTCTGGTTTCTCTGTCTGGCTTAAAACATCTCTACAGTTTAGTTAACAATGGACAGAAGTCAAAGGTTGTGTATGATTTTCCCCATTTTAGTACTTCAGTACTTCCTTGGCTGAGTCCTGAGCTACTCAGACAGGTCAGTATAAACCAGTTCATTTTGCCTTGAGTCTCTGGATATGACTGCTTCCTTTTTTTAAAGTTTGTACTTAATAGGCTTGTGAAAGAGCCATAAAGGCTATTCATTTGCAACTTCAAAACTAGATTGTGTACAACTTGTTTAGGAACCTTAAAATGAATTGTGGCTTTATGGTGCACCCACCCAGCTTAATGTCTTTACCTTTTGCCTGTTTGTTACAAAGGTTCTAAAGGACATGATCCTAATGGACACTTCTTTCCCCTCATGGAAACCTGAAAATAATTGCATTGACTTAACACTCTTCTGTACAAATATCAATTGTGAAATCTATTAACAAAAGCTATGTGCATTAAATCATTCTTACAGTCACAGGGCCCAATCTTATATAACCAGCTCACCCACAACTTGTTGGCTATGGGATATTAGGATTGGGTCCTGAACCTGTATTATATCTACAGTATATCTGCACATACATATTTTTGCAGTACATATTCAGTAGTTCCCAGTGAGTTGATATGCTTTTTGTCTCCCACAGGATTTGTATGGGTATAATGTGAAGTCTGACATTTACAGTGTGGGGATAACAGCATGTGAATTAGCCAATGGATATGTACCATTTCAGGATATGCCTTGTGCAAAGGTAAAACATTAAATACTCTTAAATCCTTCTCAAAACCTCATTCACAGGACTTTTTCTCTTACAGATACTGTCTAATAATAAAGTTAAAGGGTGGCTTTTTTTTTTTTTATTTCAAACATACATGCTGCTTCCTAGGTCAGAGGAGCTTCCAACTCCTTGTTTTTCTGAAAGGTCCTGTGACAAAAGTTCTGTCCCTGGAGCCTGACCAGGGTGCAGTCACTACCACAATTTTACGGGCCCTAGGCCAGCATTTCTCAAATGCAGCCACCGTGGCTGCATGCGGACACCAGGAGCTTTTCTTGTGGCTACAGCTTCCTGGGCTGTTATGGGGGGGGAGAGGGGGCAAAGTCGTGAGTGGCCCCTCCCTGTTGCTCCTGGATGCACTGTCTTGGGGTTGATTGCTGGGGTGCCAGCAGGGGTTGGGCCCTGTTCCCCCTTTGGAGACACCTGGGGCACAGTTCTGGAGAACCAGCCAGCTGGTGAGTTCCCCACCTTCCCGGGGCAGTGGGGCTCAGCCTTCAGGCTTCAGTCCTGAAGTGGCGGGGCAGTGGGGTAGCAGGCTCTGGCCATAGGGCTTTGGGCTCCAGCCCCCACACTGGTTCCCACCCACCCACCCACATTGTTCCTGGCCCCTGCTGCCTTCCCCAATCCCCCACCCATCCAGGGCTTAATTTGTCCCAAGGCTTGACAGGGCTGAGTAAATCTGTTGTGAAAAGCAATACTTGTATGTTTGTTAATATCACTTTTAACAAGGCTTACTAGCTAGCAAAAAAAATTACAATGATTTGGACATATATATGTGCATATTTATTTGTTTTTCCTAAAGCTAATTAAGTATTTTAGGAAAAAGGGTGAGAGCGGCCACCAGCAAGAGTTGGTGGCCGCACTCTAAGGCCACCAAAAAAATTTGTCCTGAGAACTGCTGCCTTAGGCACACACCTGTGTGACACACTTTTGAAAGAAGGAACCATCTTGTCCAACTGCCTAGCCCCTCTGAGCACAATGACGACTCTTTGGACTCCCCATACTTACACACCCTCTTCCAAAAGCAGTTCACACACACTCATACGTTTGGTCTTTTTCAATACAAAACCATAGAAAGCCAAGAAGAGTAGATCATACAAAATATCTTAACCACAATACCACTTTCTAGCTCACCCTTCCCCTGGGAGTCCTTAGGGACCATTGGTATCCAGAAAGGCACGGTGCAGGTTGAACCTCTCTAGTTTGGCACCCTGAAGACCTGACCAGTGCCAAACCAGAGAATTTGCTGAACCATGGGAGGTCAATATTGTAGCAAGCGGGTCTCTTTTTATTTTTATCTCGCCGAGGAGAATGGAACCATGTTTGCAACACCGCCTACCCAAGGCTTACCGGCTCTCTTCATAACAAAGTGTTAGTGTTGTTCTACAATTTTACTGTATTGACACAAGGAAAAACATAGATAAAGCATAAAAAACAAAATAATATGAAAAAGAAATAATACAGGTAAATCTATAATTTACTCACCTAAAATGATACCTGAATTGCACTTCCAAAGTGATATGACAAGAACTGCTAACTCAAATTACATTTGAGTTACATCTGGGGTCTCTGCTATAGGTATATCCGGGGTAGATGAAGTGGAGGTAACAGGATTTTCGACTGTAGAGTGCTGCTCACCGCCGCTCTTCGCTACCTTTAACCAATCTTCCAGCTTGGCTTGTCCCATGTATTTTGGTTTTTCTTTAATGAGTTTTTCTCATGTCAGGTCAAGAGAGACGATCTCTTGCTCAGAAATGAAATGTGTTTGCTCCAGTCCTTCTGTTAAATTTGTTGCCAACTGAATCCATTTATCTATAGAAATTTTTTCTGCAACATCTTCATCACCATCACTGACTTCTTCATTATCTTTGTTTTTCCCTTGCTGTACCATTTGCACAATTTCTTCGTCCGTCATTTGACTAGCAATTGGTGCATCTTTGTCAATTTCCATCCAGTCTAGTAAATCTTCCTCTCCCAAATCCTTGGCCAGCTCAAGCACTACTGGGTGGGATGTACCACTGGCATACTCCATTAACTCACTAACTATTTTTTTTGGTTTTCAGACACTTGAAATCCAGTGAACTTGGACACGTCATTGATGTCAGGACTGTCCTCAAACATTAGGGCTGGCCACAATTTGTGCCATCCATTCTTCAGAGTAGATGGAGTTAGTCTTTCCCAGGCTCTAGCTAGTGTTCAAATCATATCCTTGAGGTTAAACTCTTCCCATCATTAAGCAATACTAGTAATTGGTGCAGAAACTCAGACCTGTACATACACTTCAGGGATCGTAAGATACCCTGATCACAAGGCTGAATCAGTGAGGAACAGTTTGGGGGTAAATACAAGCCCACCACATTATCTTGGACAAGCAGCTGTGTGTTAGGGTGGGCAGAGCAACTGTCGAGAATCAGCGCACTTTGGATACAGACCTACCGAGGTGCAATGGGCTCTTACCTCCAGTACAAAATATTTCTCAAACCACTCTAGACATAGATTAGTCATTATCCATCCCTTTTTATTGCCATGATATATCACTGGAAATATTTTCACCCCTTTGAATGCTCTTGGGTTCACACTTTTCCCAATAACCATGAGCTTCCATTTGTGTATACCTGCTGCATTGCTACAATCAAGGACAGTTACCCTGTCCTTTCACTCCTTCATACCAGATGGTGGCTCCTCTGCATCAGTAGCCAAAGGTTTTTTTGGGCATACAATACCAATAGAGAGCAGTTTCATCAGCATTGTATACCTTCCCCAGCAGATAACTTCTCATTTGTGCAAATTTGTCAACGTACTTAGCGGTAGCTTCCATATCTACACTTCTTTTTTCACCGCACACATGACATAGACTTATACCATGCCAGTTTTTAAATTTCTGAAGCCACCCTTGTGAATAGTCACACTCATGTGGCAGGTTAAGTTTTTTGTGGAATATTTTTCCTTGTGCCATCATCATCTTGCCTGAAATGCTAACACCTTTGTTCCTACGAATCTTGAACCAATGTATAAGCGCACTATCTAAATTGCTGCATTCCCCCTCCTTCAATGTCTTATGAACACTTTTTTTTTTTTTTTTTTTGGTTAAAACACTGTCACTTTCGGCAAAAAACTTAAGGATTTTATTCTTTTGTTTCTTCAAATCATACACTGTAGATGACCCTACATTGTAAAACTCACACAAGGTACGTACCACTGTGCCCTTTTCCAATTTCTGCAGAAATTCCACCTTTTGCTGTATTGATATTGATACATGCTTATGCTTAGCAGCATTACCAACACTTCCACTGCTTGCTGGTCTCTTAGAAGACTTCTTTATGGGTAAATTAGAGCTAAATAACAGCACAGAACACTGAGAACCATGATTGGGGAGACTTTGCTGGACCGCAGGAAACTTGGCCCCACCCACAATAAGCGGACATCTGGTTAACTAAAATCATGCCAGACCCCGGATGTTCCCAGACCAGAGAGTGCCAGACTAGAGAGGTTCAACCTGTATTCCTTGCCTTGTGCAGGGGGTTATAGGGTGGTTATATGATCTCTCCTTCAGCTTCTGTGACCTTGCTCTCTCCTGTCCAAGGCTTCGTTTTCCTGTCTGGTTTGGTTTTAAACACCACGCCCTGGCCCTGGCTTCCTTGATTCTGTCTTTTGGGTAAGTTTCCACTAGTCCTATCTACCCCCTTTCTTCAGGGAGTTAGGCTCAAACTGGTTTTCTTAAAGATGCTTCAGGGAGTTAGGCTCAAACTGGTTTTCTTAAAGATGCAGCTGCTTTGCATTATAATCTTTGTTGGGTTTAAGCACTGTGGTTAACCTCAGGTATTTCCCACTGTCCTGTTTGCTGTGAAGTTGCTATAGAACCTGTCAGAAGTGGTAGATCCACATAGAGGAACTCTGTTTTTCATAATATCAACCGGATTTCATAAGTTGTACAAACATACTGCCAATTCATCACAGCCTCTAGAGGCTAATATAGCCACTGAACTCTTATACTGTCTTTCCCTTCTACTAGATGCTGCTGCATAAGCTGAAAGGTCCCACTTATTGTCTCTGGGATATAAATACCTTCCCATGCGTGGAATCCAGAATGAAGAATTCCCAATCAGGTGTGGATTCGGGAATTGGTGAAAGCATGACACACACAATGACTAGCGAGAGACTGCAAACTCCGTCCTCAAAAACATTTTCCCCTGCTTTTCACAACTTGATAGAACTCTGTTTGCAACAGGACCCCGAGAAAAGGTAACTTACCTGTGAACCCTAACATTCACTGTCACTTCAACATAAGATATAGCATAACCTAAGGTGAACTTGGAATCTACTAAGTCATATACAACTGACGATAAATTCCGTGTTAAGATGAAGTGCATCTGGGTTTCTTTTCACAATGCTAAATTGTCAAAGTGCCAGGCCAACACTGTCTTGGTCTGAAGAATGATCTTCAACATGCTTTTAAAATCTTATTTCATCACTAATTCTGAAGCTTTCTTGGATAATGGATTGCTTGTTTCTCAAAACAAGTTTGAAAAACCACAGTTTGGCAAGGAGACTCAGGAAGGGCTAGTTCCAGAAACTAGTTTAAAGTGTTAAATTCTGCAAGATTTCTACAGGATGATATATCTCTCTAACACTTTATGGCTTCTGTGGAGGCTGAGAATTGAATGTACTGGATCAATGAACTCACTGCCTCTAGTAATGCCCTCACAGTAAAGTTGAGGCACAGAACGAAGGAACCTTGTGCTGCCTCTCTTCAGGCTGCACTTGTTCAGTGGATAAATAACCCTAGGGCCTAGAGTGCATGGTCAATCTGGCATCTTCCACAAACACCAACACTTACTTTCAAAACATAATCTTGTGTTTTCCATTTTATGATCCAGGCCATCAGCAAGCAGTTTGCTGTCACACACTTTCTTCAAACAGGTGAGTGTACTAACTGTTGAGATGAGCTAACTGCAGCCTAAGTAAATAGCAAAATATTAAAAAGTTGGGTAAAGTAAAATCACCCTCTAACAGCCAGGATGCTGCAGACAGTTCTTTTACAAAATGTCATATCATCTAGAATCTTGTGCAATGCATAACACAGCAATCATGTCCTGTGTTAAATGGAATTTGAAAGCTTGTTTAAAGGATGAAAATTTATTGAAGTAAGCTTAACCATTGAGATATTTTGGTTGAAAAAAAACATTTTAAGTCAAGCTAATCATTTAACTTGATTACAAATTTACTAACATTCATGGTCAATTTACTCTGGAGTGACGAAGCTAGTCTCAAACTCTGGTTTCTCCAGCATCATAGCACACAAGGCTGCTGCTATACCCCTTCATGCACTTTTAGTAAAGATGTACACAAAGTTTCAGTGGACTTGTATGTACAGCACTATTTTATCCTGTTCATTTTTTTCCTCAGGTAAAAGAACAAACAAGGAGTTCCTTACTTTCACTGTTGCCACCTCCTGCCCAACACAATGGACCACAATTCTTGCCACTGCCCTCAACAGCAGTCAGGCCTGAACTTGGGTGTTTTTGCCCAAATGAAAGAGACAGAGAGTGGGACTTTTAAAACAATGACAAACCATCATACCTCCCCCATGTTTCAAAGAAGGAAAATGTGATTTCTACTTGCTGCTTTTCTCTGTATTGGTTTAAATACAAATATAAGAGCTATACTTGAACATCTGTGGTGTGTACATGATTTAAAGCGGGCACTGTAAAAATGCAGTAGGCCTCACTTTCCTAACCCCAGGGGAAAATTTCATCTTAAGAATATTGATGCTTTTTATCCTTCTCTTCTCCCCACCCCTTTGGACTGACATCCTTTGGCAGAAGGCTCCTTCTATAGCCTTATCTGGTTTTGTACTTATTCATACAACTTCTGTTTGAAGAATACTGCAATCAAATGCCATCCTGAATTTCCAAGTACCGCATCACTATGTTCAGGTTCATATCAAGCCTCTCTGTGGCCTTCAACTGGATTGTTAACCCCAGTATCGTGGTACCAGCTCTTTTACTGCATTGCCCTCGAATGATCTCAGCATTTTTGGCCTTCGATAAATGACTTTATTAAATCTTTTTCTATATGTGCAAATGCCAGAGCTCATGCTTCTCCTCACCTGAACTGCTTTTGTGCACTGTTCGGCTGACACACAATGGATATCTTACATTTTAAGACTCTATCCTCGAGGTTTTATGTAACCAGCCAGAGTCATTTGGGCAGCTTAATACTGTTGTCTAGAGAAGTCTATACATTTTGCAACTAACAGTCACTCTTCCAGAGTAGCCATAGTTGTATCTGCCTTAATACCGAATTGTGCTTTGGATACCTCACTCTGCTTTATCGCATCACACTTCCAATTACCAAAAGAGTTATCATAATGCAGGGTAAAACTCAAAGAACTGCTAACTCAACTTGGTTGGTGCTTCTGAAATGTCCCTTTAGTGTATGTTAATAACTAAAGACTATATAACTAGGGAAAAGTAAGTTACTTATAATACAGAAGTACTAAGGGCTTATAAATCCTTTCACCCAAACTATGCAAATTTTCTTTAAACAACTTGCTATTCTACCACATTGCAGGAACACAAGGTCATGCGTGCCAGGGGCCAGTGTTGTGTACCACTATTATTGCTGGCTATGGCCTACTAACCCTGAGCCTCTTTCGAAGTTGGGTCTTCCAGTTTAACACACAGGTCAGATTCAGTCCTGGCAGAAGAGAAGATGCAACATCCATTTGTCAGAGTCTGAAGAAGACCTCAGCATTTTGAATTATTTTAAGACCTGGTAGGGTGTGGGGAGAGAATTTTTAAAGTGTACATCACCCATTAATATGAACATTCAAAATAGACCACTGTATGCAGAACAGAAATCATAGAGTTGAAGGAAGGAGGAGACAATGAATAAGCAAGACCATTTTAAAAAAACCCACAAAACTACCTTTAAGTCATGGTTTAGCCAAGTTTTTAATCCCAAAAATACAAGACTATTAAACCTGCTTCCTGACTAAAATAAAAAAAGTATACAATTTTAACTTATGATCTTAGCCATCAAGTGAACATGTAGAAGTGTAATAAGAGAATGGGCTTACCCTGCTATTAGTCAAAAATCTCTCTCTTCTCTGGTTTTGAGGGCTATATTTTTAATTGTGGAATATAATTTACACAGATCGTTTGTAAATACTAGTACTTGTAAAATATAGGTCAAACCTAACTAAATTGTAACATTTCAAAATAAGTGCACAAGTTTATTTATTAAAAACATCTGTACTTCTATTACATACCTCTTAATGAAGTAACTGATTGATAGTGTTCTTTTAGAAAACAAGGAACAACTGAAATTACTGCAGCTATTTAAATATTTGACAAACTATACTATGCTAATCTGTGTAAGTCTTCCATGCATCATTAATTGGATGTATAAAAATAACTGGAATCAAATACTGTCCATAATTATAAGCCTAAACTGAGTTATGCATCCCAATTGCTACAGAGGTGTTACTTGCTATTTCAGTTTCTGTATGTGGAAAATGAGTAATTAAAATACCTAGGAAAGTTACTGAATAAAATAACTTCTATAACCTTTAAAATGAAAAATCTTTATTCAAAAAATGTTAAAATTGAGTACCAATAATTTACTTGCTTTGTATTTCTAAAACCAAAGCAATGAAAAAACATGAGTCTGTCCCCCTAATTACTCTTATAAAGTATGAGAAGTACTATTTCATCACAACACCCTGACCTGGGGGGGAGGCAGAACTAAACGCATTTTGGTTATCTCAATTTTGGTATCTAAAGGATAATGTTAAGTGGGAAATATCACTTAAATACATTGACAGACTATTTTGGTAAAGTACTATAATAGCAAAAGTGTATAATCATATCAGCTTCCATGTTCCAGCTACCAGACTTTGGCAACAGAGATCAAGGAAGTAAGACTTTGGTACATTCTGGCAGCCTGAGGCCACTCCTGTTGTTCTATTGAACAAGCCTTCCTATATAACTGGTGTTTAAAGCAATCCTAGATACATCTTGACTATATATTTGAAATTACTGGCTGCTGAATTGTATACTTTCCCTATTCCAAACTGTCATGAATGCTTAAAAGCAGAATAAAGCCCACTCAATACTTGCCTGCAGACCATTTGTTTGTTTAGTTTGCCTACATCAATCATGTAGGCAGTAAATGAAAGGGCTAGAGGCAATCAAGTGAAAGTTCCAGACATTTGATGAGTTCTTTTAATTCCACACTTTTGGGCCTAAATTTCAAGGTTGAATAGTGATTTTGAGTGTCCAACTGGAGACACCACACAAGGACCTTTTTGGGCAGATAAAAGTTCTGTACGCTCACAAAGTCCTTACAAGTGTTTGTAATATTGGACACAAGGGCTTTCTGGATAAATACATTAACTAGATTAAGGTGATTTGGTACTATTCCACTCTGCAGGAAGAAACAGTTTGTACTCCCACTTAATTTACACAGAGGAACAAGGCAAAGCTGCTATTGCGACCCCTTTTTGTACTAGCAATCAACACTCAAACAGAAAACATCAGGAACTAAAATATCAAGGTATCACAGCAGGAACCGTCTCAGACAAATATACTATAGAAAAACGAGGTTTTTATGCACAAAGCTGTTAAACAATTGCTACAGAGGACAGATCGCAGGAATGAGTAACAATTTACAACAAAAAATAATTTGGAGTATTAAAGTTCATCTGAGGTAACAAGTACTATTTATTAGGTTGTAGCCAAGTAAATTAAGGATACTGCCATTGATAAGCACTTCCAACCAGAAGGAAGTCTACTTCTAATGAGTAATTAAATAAAAACAACACAACGTTCTTGATGGTGGGGAGAAAGCATTCAGAAGCCTTTGAATGGCTTCTGCCACTGTTCTTGGGTATTATCACTCTCCACTCCAAAATACACAGCTATACAAACTATAAAGATTGTTAGTATAACAACACCCCTAAAAGATGGCATACTCTTCCGTTTGATGCTACTGGAGAGGGGTGGAAACAAACAAACAAAATCTATATAGTAAGGCTGCTCTTCCTCTTCCAAAAGCTGCTTTTGAGCTATCAAGTGGCCTTTTTGAAGATCTCAACTAAGGTGACTCCATATTTCTCTGGAATATCAAAAATCCTTGAACAAATCACAAATCCAACAGTAAAAGAAATCAAATAAGGTTTACACCTCCTCATACACAGTTTGTGAACTACTACTAAACAGCACTACTACAATATAATACATTAGATTGGCTTACTAACCTTCAAAAAAACAGCTGAAGTCTAGCTCTATAAACAGTCTGGTTGACAGATGCCCAACTACTTCTCCTGGTCCTTTGTGAATAAGAATGAGAACAAATGCAAATTCAAACAAAACACACACACTCGTGAGACTGATCTCAGATGGACACAGAATAACAGCTGTATTGTGAAACTAAGTTATCTGAAGTGACAAATTTCAGCTTAGGATTTAGAAAAGGATGGATAAATGTATAAATATTGTTGACACACAGAGCATCCTGTTTCTATAACCACCACTCACATATTTAATTCCGCTGACACCATAATTCAATCTATTCAGAATATTAGGGTGAGAGAGGAAAGGGTGCTCATCAGTAGCTTTACAGAGAAACTCCCACCTCCATTCCCAAATTACAAAAAATTGATCCTACTACACATATTGCCTGCCACAAAATAAAAATGTGATTCCTATGTGATGTCACATAACCTTGAAAACCAAAATGTTTTCAAGTGAGTTGCTCAAGTATTGAAGTCTTTGGGGTCGGGTTCTACATGGTTTTCATGCATGTCTAATAATTTTCCAAGTTTTGATCCAGTTTACTAATAAACCATCTGAATTAATGATGGCTTGACCACATTCAAGAGCTAAATGCTCAGCAAGCTAATGTAGTTACATGAACAGGTATTCAACAACATAATTCCGCTGTGCAACCTGTTCTTTTTAACGATTTGAAAGGCACAAATTTGGGTACCAAAATCATTACCTATGTTTGTTTGTTCATTCATTCATAGTTCTGATGTTAAAACATAAATTACCTGTCCACATTTCACTGGAGGTTCCTGAATAAATGCCATATTGGTACATCCAAATTTTAGTTGCATTTTATTTGTAATGCGATGCTGGAGATCACGAGTACAACTCAAGCATCTGGGTAAAATCCTGGCCACACTGACTTCAATAGAGCCAGGATTTCATACCCAAAGTTTTAGGTGGTTGGTCAAAAGCAGACTTGCTAATAACAAACAAATAGGTGAAGGCAAAATAACTGAGGCAGGAGGAAAAGGTGGTCAAAGACCAAAGTGCAGCAAATCTCTAGGAAATAACTTTGACAAAGCTGTGAAAAATACTCCCTGCCTCCACTCCCCTCTTGGTTATCGCCACACTAAAACATTCATTTGAAAATACAGACACAAAATCTTTAAAATTAAAAGATATCAAGGTTTTTCTTTTCTCTATGTACATATTTCTGAAATGTAATATAGACACTTGGTATTCTATACACCTGACTGATAGTAGGAAGCAGTTTCCAACAAGACAATCTTTTCTTGTAATAATCTTAAAACAAACAAAACAAACAAACAAACAAAAGGAAGTACTTCACACAATGCACAGTCAACCTCATTGCAGGGGATTTTGTGAAAGCCAAAAG